GAGGCCGCTCTCAGCTGCCCATAGAAGGCCTCATCAACTTCCTCCCCCTGATCTGGTGGCCTGTAATAGACAACCACAACAGTATCGCCCCTGCCATCCTGCCCCTTAATTCTGACCCATAGACTCTCAACTTGCTCATCAGCTGTCCCTGGACAGTACTCAGTACATTGTAGCTGCTCTCTCACATAAAGAGCAGTTATTTCGTCGGCACCTCTTCTTGTAATCTCCTCTACCACTTGGAGAAGAAAATTGTCATAGATGCATTCCAGGAACCTCCTGAATTGCTTGTGCCTTGCTGTGTTGTCATTCCAACAGATATCAGGATGGCTGAAGTTCCCCATTAGGATGAGGGCTTGCGAACATGAGGCCACTTCTATCTGTCTGTAGACAGCTTCATCCAATTGGTCATGCTGGTCAGTGTAATCTCCTCTACCACTTGGAGAAGAAAATTGTCATAGATGCATTCCAGGAACCTCCTGAATTGCTTGTGCCTTGCTGTGTTGTCATTCCAACAGATATCAGGATGGCTGAAGTTCCCCATTAGGATGAGGGCTTGCGAACATGAGGCCACTTCTATCTGTCTGTAGACAGCTTCATCCAATTGGTCATGCTGGTCAGGCGGCCTGTAGCAGATGCCCATTACAATGTCACCTGCCCGTGCCTTCCCTTTAATCCTGACCCATAAAGTCTCAGTCGTTTCCTCATCCATCCCCAAACAGAGCTCTGTGGACTCCAGCCTGTCACTGACATAGAAGGCAACACCCCCTCCCCTTCTTCCCTGCCTGTCCCTCCTAAACAGCCGATACCCTTCCATTCCCACACTCCAGTCATAGGTGTCATCCCACCATGTCTCTGTTCTGGGGAGCCTTCCAGCCTTTCTGGTGGTTCACCATCAATCTCTGTGTATGTGCCATGGATACTAAGACCAGAAGTGTTGGTAGATACTCTGATTTGGTTTCTTCAATGGCACAGACCTAAATCCAGGATAACACAATGAACTTTTGTTTCCAGAAAGTCTTGATATGAGGAAAATGTGTTTAAACGGCAAACAAACAAGTGGTCGTTGCTGCTCACACACCTGGGAATTGCAATGGGCCCTTATACCATAGCATTGAATGAACAGTGACGGTCTTTTCTAGAGCTTTTTCATTACATAGTCCTTGTGTTATGGGAAGGAGGGAGTTGGTGTTGCACTGGCATGTACTTGTTAGCTTTTTTAGCTAGCTTTAAATGTGCTCCCTTTGAGCAAAGTGAACTCAGCAAGCCCTCGCTGTGTCTGACCTTCCTCCATTTGTTTTTCAGTTCTGTTTTTCTGCTGAGTCTCTGAACTACTAATAAAGTTAGGACTGAAATTTAACTCTGCTGAGCACAGGCAGGAACACTCGTTTACTGCAGATTTCTGTTGACAAACAGTTCTTTGATGTGTAACAGAGCCAGCCCTGTATCCTCTTGCAGTGCATTTTCCTGATGTTTCTTGTTACTGATTTTAACAACATGAGGCTTTCTGTAGAAATGTGTGGGTTAGCTGCACAATTCCCTCCTTCACCGCGCATCTTCAAATTCCTCTGCTGACTTTGAGCGGAACAAATACACCCCAGGCTGTATTCGATATTTGTGCACTCCCTTGTGAGCCGTTGCCTTGCTGGGTCAATTCCAGCGTCTAATATCTTGCATGGGAAGTGTTCATCAGTTGCGTCCAAACAGCACATGGCAAGGTGGTGGGAGGCATCTGTGTTCTTTCCTTGTCTCCTCTCAATTGCTTTAGATGTCATTGGGTGGAGATTTAACTCTCTGACTTAATTCAGCATAATGGAAACGAACTGCTGTATGTAGCACTCAATTTGAAATCTTTGCATGATGCAATTTCTTCCGTCATCAGTCAAAGCTATTGGTGGGTTTTTAAAAGGGCCAGGCTTGTGCAGACAGATGGAGAAGTACTGATAAAAAATAACTTACAGAAAGGCAGAGAGCTGCCTGACCTACTGTAGTTCTCTGCTCTTCCTTGCCCATCCTGTGTATCACTTTATCCTCCATGGAGCTGACTAGATTGGGGGTCTACAGGAGCTGTCGAGCCTGGGGTTTTCTGGACTTGTCTGCACAGCCCTCCTGGGGCTGAGGGGGAAGGAAATGGAAATCCGCAGGTGTGTCCCCTTTGTTTGGGAGAGGTTTGGTGAAAAAGACCTGTGTTTATGTAAATTGCATGGGTCTGAAAAATAGTAGATTTTGCTGGTTTTTAACAGCTTTTGGCAAAACTTTGACAGAAATAAGGGTTCTGGTTGTGTTTGTCAGCAGGAGCTGATGGATCCTTGCCAGCACAGCTTGACTTGTTATTTCTGTATTTAATTGTTTTTGAGGTTGCTGATCTCCTCTGGCCATCTGTGGCCCTGTGAGAGTCGCAGCCCGATGCCACCTCTGTTCCCTATCTCTTTAGTGCTCTGCTCCTTTCTGGCTCTGTCACCCTTGAAAAGAAAAGCTCTGAACTGAATGTGTCAGTGCAGCAGGTTGGGGGACAGAGGCTGGAACAGGACTAATAGCAGATAAGAGCTCTAATCACTCTTGCTGCTCCTGGAAATAATTTTCTGAGCTCTTATACTGGCCTCCCTTTTGCAGGAGTGAGAAGTTAGGCACTCCCTTTTGCATGATTTATCTCTTTAAAAATGACAGCACACCATGGGCTTAACACTTCACAACCTCTGATTTTTAACGCATTGGAGTAACGCTCATTTCAGTTCCCCCTAGGCTGCACATCTGGAGATAAAAAAAGATCTTGTGTGCTGATACATGGAGAGAGAACTCTAAACCTGTACCCTTGGTTAGTTATGCTCTGATACAGTGTACATGCGCACATTCATGGCAACCTTTGAATAGGCAAATGGTTAGAAAATTGGAGTGCTTTTCAGGCAGAAAGAAAAATTAGTCTTGACCCGTATGACTCTTATGACCAGAATCTTCTGTCTGCTTCCTCAAAGTAAGAGGTGTGCCTCTGCCATCATCACTAGCTTTTGTTCTGGCTCCTGAGATTTAATTTTTTTGCTTCTCTCTTCAATTCAGGTATCTTGGAGTTTTTTCACCATCAGCTGAAGGACATCGTTGAATATGCAGAATTGAAGACTGTCTGTTTCCAGAATTTGCGGGAAGTGGGAAATGCCGTCCTGTTTTGCCTTCTCATTGAACAGAGTCTGGTAGGTGCCTGCTGTGCCAGTTTAATACCCATCTGTCTCTCAAAATGTACTCTCAAATTTTAGCAACTAACGTCATAAATAACAAGGTTGAAATCTGCAGATTTGCTATTGCCAATGGGCAGATGGATAGAAACTGTTCCCTGCTCTGATCTTTTACAGTCTTGCAAAGGGCTTCTGTGTCTGCGAGATAGCAGGGATGCCCAGCTTTGCTAGGTGACACACGCTGCCTCATTGTACAGTACCCGAGGTTCAAATAATATGAACTTCATAAATTCTGATCAAATACAACACTCCTGCTGTCAGTCACGGGGTGGCTACTTTCTTTTATGTCAATGTGTTGCATGTCTGGTACCGTTATTTTCCTTCCCTGCTCGTCACTCCTGCTGTCAGCTGAAACGTCGCAAAGTTAACATGGACTTCTGGGACATCCTTCTTGCTGCTAGTCTGGCTGACAGCAGTGCCTGCTCTGCCAGATGTTCATCTGTCCTAGTTTGAATGAAGCTGGGAAATGTTTCCAGTCTTTTCAGCTGCTTCCTGAATGCCTTACAGCACACGAAGGTGCCCGCTGCTGAAGGCACGGTGCTACGATTGCTCTTTATCCTTACCTCCCCTTCCCCCGCTCCACTCTCCTTTCATGTTATACAATCTGCTGTTCGTACAGAACAGCAGGACATGTAATTTCTTGGTCTTCACAGTTTTGGATGCTTGCAGAAGGAAAGGTGGGCATTGCTTATGGGCCAGAAGAGCAACAGGTGTGCTATCTTCCCTTTCTTTACTCGTGTTGTGCTTCTGAGACCTGTGGGTGTGGGTCTTTTCCCCTGCCCATGTCTACAGGACATCCTGCCCATGGTGTGTAAGCACACGCTGCCGCCAAGGCTGGGCTTCCCATCACGTGGAGATCTTTGCTGACTGCAAACCAGCTACGTCAGTTCCTCAGCAAACTGGCTGGGGCTCTGTCACTGCACACACAAAAAAATCCTTCATTTATTATTATTTCTTTAGATAGATGAAGACCTTTAAGATAGTGATAGAACAGGAAAAGGCTGCCCAGGGCATAGAATCATCATAGAATCACAGAGTGGCTTAGGTTGGAGGGGACTTTAAGAGATCATCTAATCCAACTCCCCTGCTGCAGGCAGGTATGCCTCTCAACTAGAGTGTGGTGGAATCACCATCCCTGGAGGTATTTAAACAATGTGTTGAACTGGTGCTTAGGGACTGGATTTAGTGGTGACATGGTTTAGGGCTAGGTTAATGGTTGGACTAGATGATCTTAAAGGTGTCTTCCAACCAAAGAGATTCTGTGTGATTCTGTGTAAGAGCAAGTGCAACCATTAACCTTACACTGACAAGCCCTTGGCTAAACCATATCCCTAAGCACTTGGTCTCTTAAATACCTCCAGGGCTGGGGACTCCACCACTTCCCTGGGCAGGCTGTTCCAATGCCTGATAACCCTTTCAGTAAATAAATTCTTCCTAATATCCAACCTAAACTTCCCTTGGTGCAACTTGAGGTCATTTCTTCTCATCATATCGCTTGTTACTTGGTTGAAAACACTGATCCCCACCTTTCTACCACCTCTTTTTAGGTAGTTGTAGAGAGTGATAAGGTCTCCCCTCAGCCTCCTTTTCTTCAGGCTGTACAACCCCACTTCTCTCAGCTGCTCCTCATAACATGACTCCACCTCTAGGGGGTTGTTGGTGTTAGATGAGATAATGAAGTTGTTCTCAGAGTCCTGTTCATGATATTTAGAGGAATCCCTCCCTCGTGGTGGAGAGTGATTGGAGGAAGAGGTGGCACGCAGTGAAACCATATTCTGTAATAGGATAGCTGAAACAAAATGAGAAACTGGATTACTTTGGATTCAGGCTAACAGGGTCCATAGTGAAAGGCCAGGCAGGTGAAGGCCCTCACTGCTTGAGAGTTACTGAAGTGACAGCAGCACTGTAGGTACATTCTTCGGGATGCTGCCTTGGTGGCAGATTCTAGTAATATACCCCTGCTCACTGCTCCTCCTCTTGTTTTTGCCCTCGGTAGTGTCCTGTCACACATTTCAGTATTCTTCCATTGTGGTCATCCGTCACAACTAAGCTAGGCTTTACCCCAGGACAAAATGTAGGTCTGTAGTGCATTTTTGCTGTTGGATGGGTCTTGTTAATCTTGACTGCCTAGCAGGCGCATTTTCGTGGTGTTGACATCAAGGAATTACACCTGGGAAAAGCACATGAGCCCCGGTACTCTGGCCTTGATGAGGACGTGGCTGATGTTCATCCCTTCTAGCACTAGTGCTGTGGAATTATAAATGAACAGGGTCTCTTCTCCAAAAGTAAAGAGAGAGGCTTAGCAAAGTCTTGCATCTGCTTCTGGTCATCTCTACATTTTCTCTGTACATACATTCAGCAGCCAAAACTCAGGAGATTTCCTTCCTCCCGTTCCTAAAGACGTAAAATAATTTCTGAGAGGCGATTCACTGCTGGTGTCCTGTGTCTCAGCCAGCCTGGCAGGGAGATGCTCCCACCACGATAACAGGTTGTGGGAATAGTTGTTAAAAATAACCAGGCACTGAGTCATCTTCACTGCTCTTTGTCTGCACAGGAGCCGTCTGCCGCTTTTACGCCAAAATTACTCACTCCAAATTAGTCTTTTTAATAAGTACCCTGTCCTTCACGAACGGCCAAACTGAGGGTGGGAGGAGAGCTGCTGGAGTTTATTTGGGAATCCAATCTAACCTGGTGAAATCGGATTGCGTTTTGGAGCGATCCCACAAAGAGAGGGGGGGCTGGGAGCAGCTCCTTGCAGTGGTGACAGAGGCTGGCTGCCCTCTGGTGTTCCCGTGTGGGCAAGCTTGTGTAAGCCTGTTTTGGAGATCTGGTGTGGTTTGGGGATTCTTCAGTCCTAAATGTCTCGTTTCCTTTTCATTCCAGTCCCTGGAGGAGGTGTGTGACCTGTTGCACGCAGCACCGTTCCAAAATATCCTGCCCAGGGTTCACGTCAAAGGTATTGGTTATGTGATAACACTTTCTTGGGTAATGCTTTCCATTTCTCTTGCTGGCTGCTGTGGTTTCAGTGACCGTCCCCAGCCATCCTTTACAACACCAACGTTAATTATGGGACAGGGGTAGCAGATTCAGGCTTATTTGCCTGGATGAAAAATAGGCACTTCATAGTGAGGCTCAGTGCAAATTACAAGAGGAAGAGGAGGAATGCTGTGTCGGGGACGAGTGGATGGGTACCCAGGGCAGTAGTACCCCTCTGTGTGGATGCAGTGAGAGGCTTTTCCAAGGTTTACCTTATGATTGTCAGTTAGATGGGGTGGGCTTGTGACCTACACAGGATATAGGAAGTCTGTCAGCAGGCTTCCTATAAATACACGCAAGCAGTGAATACAAGTGGTCCCTGGTCCCAGCAGACTTTTCACAAGCCTTTTTACTAAACTGGGAGTGCAGCAGTGAACATTTGCAAGATTGTTGCCTTTTTTATCTGCTTTCCTCATCCTTCATCATCAGAAAGTGAGCTTTTTTGGTTTTGTCCTCCTTATGCTTCTTTCTGTGTTACTTCTCTGTCTGCTTTCCTCTCTGTTTCTTGCTGCCAGACCAGCGGATTTGTTCTGCTCGGAGAAATCCTGTCAGCTAAAAACCTTTGAGAATATTGCCAGACTCACTGTATCTACTTGCATCTCTGCATAAAACTAACCAGACCTTTGTAAACAGTTTTTTCTCATTTGCCAGAAAACATTTCCTACTTGCCACTGATGAGGGAGTGCCAACTGCCTTTTTAAGCCTTGCTATACATAAGATTCTGCCCTCATTATACCTCATTTTCCAAATGCAAACATGTTATATATGATAAGGACAATTTACTTGGTTTAGTAAAAGTAAGACTCAAATATGTTAGCAGCAGCAGCATAATGAAGCGTTATATTCTTTCCTGAATTTAGTTAATTAATTAAACGGATTCTACTACAAATCCTTCTTTCTGTTTGCACATATAGTGCAACATTTTAAAATATATATTTTTCTTAAAAGCACAGGGAAGATGAACCAGGTACTTAGAACTGAAATTACCTGTAAAAATAACATACCCAGTTTTCTTCTATATTGAATAAAGACTGTGTGGAAGTAAGAATTTTGTTAATTGCAATTTATTATTGTACTTTTTTTTTTCAGAGGGTGAAAGACTTGATGCTAAAATGAAGAGACTAGAATCAAAATATGCTCCACTACATTTGGTTCCTCTCATTGAAAGACTAGGAACGCCCCAGGTAATCTCTCTCATTTGTATTGGAGGCAATTCAAGACATTTCTGAGCAGTAGAGAGCCTGGCCTTTCGCACATGCCAATAACAGGGTCAGAACCTGCACATCCAGCTTGTACACACAACAGGATTATTTTTTTTTCAGATACATGGATTTGGTAAAGCTGCTGAAGCTCAGAGGTTTAAAACATTTGAGATTTGTTTGGAATTGACACATCTAGGGGAAAATGCTAATTTGTATGTGATACGCTCTCAGTGTAAGGGCCAGCCTAGGAGGTCCTAGGGCAGATTCCACCACAAGCAATCAGATTTCTTGTGCATATCTATATACATAGATATAGATATCTATGTGTGTATATATATATGTAGACAATTTATTCCCCTCTCAGCGAGATGATTAGAAACTCTTGGAAAATGAACTGAGTTGACTTTTCCTGGAAACACAGTGACCAAAGGGAATATTCTTGAACTGCCTTTGCAGCTTCAGCACTATTTTCTGTCTGTGTGAGTGGTGCATTAATTCCCTGCTAACCTCATCAGTTTACAAGTGATGGAGGTGTGAATAGTGCGCAAAGCACTCTGAAGTGAAGTCAGAATCACAGAATGTCAGTGGTTGGAAGGGGCTTCTAGAGATCACCTAGTCCAGCCCCCCTGCCAGAGCAGGATTACCTACAGTAGGTCACACAGGAACGTGTCCAGGCAGGTTTTGAATGTCTCCAGAGAAGGAGACTCCACAACCTCCCTGGGCAGCCTGTGCCAGTGCTCTGTCACCCTCACAGTGAAAAAGCTTTTCCTCATGTTTTTGTGGAACCTCCTGTGTTCCAGCTTGTGCCTGTTGCCCCTTGTCCTGTCGTTGGACGTTGCTGAAAAGAGCCTGGCTCCTTCCTCCTGACACTCCCCCTTGACGTATTTATAAGCATTTATGAGGTCACCCCTCAGCCTCCTCTTCTCCAAGCTAAAGAGACCCAGCTCCTTCAGCCTCTCCTCATAAGGGAGATGTTCCGCTCCCTTAAAGACCTGACTGCTTTTATCATTGTGGGTGCTGCAGCTCGGCAGGCACTGCTGCAGTAGGAGCGCTCTTGCCCTGACAACACAAGCTGGGACAAGCCCTAACAGAGCATTGCTAGTTTATGGGTTTTTTTCTGGGCCTGCTGGTGCTGTCTGTGGTGCTTTCTCATCTCTCACAGCAGCAGCCAAGGGAGATGTGCAGGAAAGCGCAGGTAGGAGCTACTGCCCATTACCAGCAGCAGAGCGCTGAACCCTTTGGTTTTCCTTTCTCTCTGTGTTCGGGCAAAGGATTCTTTAAACTTCCCTGGGCTAGTCCAGGGTTAGCGTCACCGCAGTTAGTGTTACTTAGTACAGCATTGGCCTTTCTGCTTGAAAGGGCTTTTCCAATTTTCACTGAATGTTTTTTCCACTGAACTGAACCCCAGATTAGTGGCCTCTGACCTCACTTAAAGTCAGGAGAAATTGCTCCTAGAGTAAACCAAGTGAAACTGGAGAACATGGTGGTATATTTGGGGGGGAAAAAAAAGGTCAAAGGGCTTTTACCAGGATTTTGCACTTTCTTTCTCCACTTTAGCAAATAGCAATCGCGAGAGAAGGGGACTTGCTGACCAAAGAACGTCTTTGCTGTGGCCTGTCCATGTTTGAGGTTATCCTGACGAGGATCCGCTCCTTCCTGGACGATCCCATCTGGCGCGGGCCCCTGCCCAGCAATGGGGTGATGCACGTGGACGAGTGCGTGGAGTTCCATCGCCTGTGGAGCGCGATGCAGTTTGTCTACTGCATCCCCGTGGGAACGCACGAGTTCACTGTGGAGTACGTCCTGCCAGCGGCCCACCTGCGGGCAACAGTACTTTGCTTGTCCTGCCTGTAACTGGCAGGGGGGTGAGAATGAAGGGGTTGGTTTGCCCAACAGCAAGGCCTTAGTGGGGAAAACAAGGGAAAGGGCTGCAATTGCTGGGAGGGGCTCATAATCCATGGACACAGATACGATTGTATCTGTAATGAGAATAACCCTCTGTTTTAAGCATTGCCAACGTATAACGAAGAATCTCGTGACAAGCAGGCCCTGGCATGCATCTTTCAGTAGTAGTGAGACCCCTATGGGTGCTGAACTAAATTAACTGAACATTGGTGCGTGTAACTCTTAACAAGTATTTTCGTCTCTGAATTAAGAGCAAGAATGAGCACCTGGAAGTTAATATGATTAACATGAGTTAACCAAGACCCGTAGCTCTTGGTTTTGTTAATTTTGATAATAATCTGATTTTCAAAAACTGTTCAAGCTGTAACACGCTTTTCACAGAGCAATTATGGAGGCAGCAGCATAGGAGGTTTCCTTCAGTTCATACCTGCAGCCAAAAGGAGCAGTGGTGTTGAATTCCCACTTTCTTTTTTTCCCATAGTTTCTAGATTAACGTCAACATATTCTAGGGTGATATACCTGTAGTTTAGTGTAATGACCAATGACAGAGCATACCCTGTGGAGATGTTTCTGAAGATGTAGGTGAAATGTGCTTTACGTGGTGTGTCTCCTGTCTCAGGCAGTGCTTTGGAGATGGCTTGCACTGGGCTGGCTGTATGATCATTGTGCTCTTGGGACAGCAGCGTCGCTTTGATGTGTTGGATTTCTGCTACCACCTGTTGAAAGTCCAAAAGCATGATGGCAAAGACGAGGTTATAAAGAACGTGGTGAGTTGAAGACATCTGTTCTGTACTTGCTCTAGTGGTAACACGAACACGTCAGAGCTGTTTGTACTCGGATGCAGTGTAGATACAGCAAGTGCTTTTTTAGAATGAAGTGCTGAAAACCAGGGCTGCAGGGTTTTTAGCACCAAAAGATTTAAGGTGTTAATTCTGGAGTTTCAAGACTGGTCAGTGAGAGTTCTGGTTTCCTGAGTATGTGGGATTTTCTTAATGCTTTCAATCTCATATACATGCATTCAGATTATGACAAGGCAACCATAAGTTGCCCTTTTATGTACAAAAAGCAGCACTGTCAAAACCCGAAATGCACCTTGGATTTTCACTGTGTGAGCAGTAGAAGGAAAACATTCATAATATTGCTCCTGAGGTGAGGTAACAGCATTTGCTGTGTTTTTTGTTTGCAGCCTTTGAAGAAAATGGTTGAGCGAATTCGCAAGTTCCAGATTCTGAACGACGAAATAATTGCTATTTTGGACAAGTATTTGAAGTCCGGCGACGGAGAGAGCACGCCTGTGGAACATGTGCGCTGCTTCCAGCCACCTATTCATCAGTCCCTTGCCAGCAACTAGACTTCCTGCCTAATGATACTTTTTGCACCTATTTAGGCTAAAAGTATGAGACAAACCCAACACACCCACACCAACAGTTTTAAGGAATACTCTCATCTGCATTTTTCGGTATGCCTGTGCCATTTGAGCGATGCACTGTCCTCTTCAGTCGCCAAGCACAGTAACTGTATACAATCCATACTTATTTTTCTAGACTAAAATTTTATACGCTTTGATTAAAAAAAACAAACAAACCTGCGACTGTAAAAGATTTTTGAAATATCTTTGCATTCCTGTACTGAGGTGGCTGGTTTAGACTGGACTGGCACAATGTTCCCCAAAAAGCTATGAAATAATAGCTGTGGAGGATAAGAAACTGAATTCTGTAGAAAAAAAAAAATATTTAGAAATCAATTCCTAATTGTTTGTATTAGAGCATTAATTGCTTAATTAGCCTTTATTAAAAAAAATTAGATAAAAAAGAAAAAACAGACCAACAAACAACCTCTGCTGGTGCTTTGTGAATAATTTTTCTAGTCAGTTGATTACATTTCCTCGTTGCAAAACTATTCTCTGAGATCAGTAATTATGGAAATGAAGGCTAATTAAGGTGATTGTTTTATAGTTATTTAACATGGAAGTGACTGATAGTATTCTGATTTTTTTTTTAAAGGCGGTAATTTGATTGATTTGAATGGGGACTGTTTACTTTTTCCTAATGAGAGCTTCTAACACACTGGGTATTTTGGTTGGCGATACGTACCTGTGTACAAAAGTACATGTTTACAAGTGATAAGAGATTCTTGTTTACAAGAATCTTGACTACAGTGATCAGGTGTTTCATCTATCCCAGTACTTAAGCTCTAATGGTGTTAATCATGATTTACTTATGGAAAGTATTTGTTTAATTACATTTACTGTATTATGCAAAGCATCAGTAAAATTGTTTGTAAAACTTGGCAACTGGAAAAATTGAATTTTAAAGCAACCCATTCAGCCCAAAGTACTAATTCCTGCCTCCTTACTGCAGGAGCCTAACAGAGTTTTTCAGCTGCCTGGTAGGATCAGTCCAAAACAAATGTGACAAGACACCGACAGATAATGACAAGTTTTACCCAGGATATGGTTTTCTGGAGATGTTATTTGGTTGATGTTTCAAACCCAAAGTGGGAAACCAAGAACGCATCCCTCCGAGAACCTGTTTTTCTCTCTTACTAGTTCAAAGTGAGGTTACAGGACGTCTTTTCTCCTGCTCGGCTCTTCTGAGATGTTTCTGAGCATCTGACCGCGGAGGGATGCCGGAGATGAGGAATGTGTAGGTACTGGTGTGGCAGGGAACTGCATTTTGAGGAAAGAAAATAAATTAACAAAATTCCTCAGCAAAACAGAGGGTAGAGATTAGCCAGACAATCTATAAGCAAATTTCCACGGCCACCGGTTTTCCCAGGACATCTGTGCTTGAGAGCTGCTGTTCTGGAGTGGGCGCTGATGTGGTGGGAGTGCACTCAAGGCTGGCCAGTGGGGCAGAAACAGAAGTAGGAAACACTTGTCCTTTGTTATGCTGGCTTGTTGCAGGACTTCTTTTACAAGATTTTCTTCAAGAAAAGTTTTTGAGTTCTTGGAAGATGTCTAGTCAACCAAGTGCTTCCCTGTGCTTCAGGCTTCAATTAAGGAAATTAAGAACTTTCTTAATCTATTAGGATAGTCATTGGTTTAGGGGTCTCATACACAGGAGGTTTTTTGGCTTGGCCCTGTTTGCAGAATTTGTTTAGTAACAAAGCCTGGGGTTTTTTTTAAGAACTATTTAAAAATGACTAATCATGACGTGAGTAAATTAAGTTCTGATTCTTACCAGCTAACTTTCAGCAGTAGGACAATTGGTCTCTAACATCTTAAAACTACTAGTATTACTACATATTCCATGATCACATTTTTGCCTTCAGTATGAGCTCAAGAGAATTCAGACATTGGTCCTAAGATGTTTGTTTCCCATTTCTCCACGGTAGGTTACTTTTATTTTCCCCCCAAGAGGTTTATTAGACTTGACGGGAGCTAAAAAACCTCTTCACCTGGTATACCTGCTTCTCCTACCTACAAGGAAAAATGCACTGAGGTGCAAAAAAGAGGTAGCTGTTTCATTTTTAATTATTCTCATCAAACAGGGCAGGTCTGGAGGCCTAAGTGCCTGTCCCAACAAAACGTAACCTGCTCTTTCCATAGGCTGGTGCTTTGACACTGGAAGCAGCAACCCAGAGGTCAGTGACTCCCCGGCAGTTTCAGCTCTTCCCTGCTGCTCCCTGTTACCGGGCGCTTCATTGCGAAAGCGTCACAAGGATGTGTTCCTGTGTCTGAGTGCTGCGGACATGATGCCCCGTAAAAATAGGCAGAAGTTCAAATCCCCTTTTTCAAGCATAATATAACGAATCTTTTTCTTGCTTTGACACCTTTGCCCTGCCTGCATCTATGACAGGTACCAAAGGAAGGCAGCATAGTTTCACAGGTGGTATTTTTGTCCTAGTAATGAACTTAATTATACACTTGAACAGTAAACACTAAAACTGATAACTTTCAACAGTAACTAGTTGTCTTCAACCTTCACGTTTATCATAGAAATGTTCCTATAAAAACTATCACTCATTTTTATTTTCTGTCTTTGCAAACTTAAGTTACCATGTCCCTGCCTTGTCCCTTTTTTAAGCAATGACATGATATTCCAAAGGTTTTCGTCTCTTTTTAAAACCTCAGTGTCGCAGGCAGTAACCGAATTACTACAAACAAAACTGCACTCCTTTGAGTTCACGCTGTAACATCAAAAGCTCAGAGCAGCTCTCCAGAGCAGGGCAGCCTGATGCAACAAACAGCCAGAACCTGACCTCTTCTATGCAAGAGGGAGCAGTGGGGGGTTTTGTTACTATTAAGGCCTCAAATCGTTCCTCCTGCATAAACTGGCCTGGCCAGACCTACTGCCTCACCTAGCCAAGGAGAGCAGAAGCTCCTGTGTTGTAGCTGCCAGCTACTCTGGGTGAGCTTGGGGTTTGGTTTGTTTTTTAATGTGAAGGCTGCAAGTTTAGCATCCAGCTTTAACTAAGCATTATGTTCAAAGGATTAGTCTGGCTTAGTTGTAGGAGTTTCCTTTCCTCTTGTATGGAGTGGGCTGAGCACTTACAGCAGCTCCCATTTCAGCAGGTTTACAGTCACTCAGTGTTCAGTCAGGGCACCAGGTACAAAGGATCCAAGTTGCCTGCAAGCTTTTTACCACCAATGCAGAAATAAAGCGATTTATTTTTGATAAAATTGTCATTAGTGCAATACATCTGAAAACCGAAGAATGAAATGGAAGTATTTACACATAACTTAAGCAACACAACCAACTGTGGTCTGAGGTCATTTTAGTATTTTTTTAAAGTAAAAATAAGGCAAATAAAACCCCCTTCACTGTTCTTTATCCAAATTAATCAAACAAAAATTAATGATTGTCTACACATACTGTTAAAAAGTACATGATTTTCCAGACAAGCTCAGACATTTCACAGCAGAAAAAAGTATTCCAGAGTTACACAATTGTTCTTTTCTTAAGTAACATGTAGATATTTTCAGAAGGCTGATAGACTTCCATTTCTCCTGGCTGAGAGACTCTCAGTGGATTGTATTTCCCCTAGGCAGGCAGAACTTTCTTCGTCATGATTAAAGCAGTCGTATGTGTTCAGCAAAGTGCCGTTTGCTGCTCTATCATCCTTCCTCAAGGAGAGGGGCAGATTGGCAAGGGTGAAGTTAAGATCTTTGAAGGCATGCAATAAAAAGATCCCCACAATAATAGTCAGGAAGCCGCTGAAGGTGCCAATAATGTCATCAGCTGCCATGTGTTGCCACTCCTTGAAAAGGATGGCAGAACAAGTTAAAACAGATGTTGTGAAGATTACGTAATAGATTGGAGTCACTATTGAAGTGTTGAATATATCCAGAGCCCTGTTTAAATAGTTGATCTGTGTGCTCACACAGACAATAAGGCTTAGCAGCAGAATCCAAGACAAGGGATGAGTCAGCACTGGTTTTCCTGCAAAAAGTTCCTTTATGGCAATGCCCAAACCTTTAACACAGGAGACTGATAATGCTCCAATTACAGAGCAAATTGTTATGTACACGAGAATGTTGGTCTGTCCATGGCGAGGTCCCACCACAAATATTAGAATTAAAGACACAATGACGACAAGAGTTGCAAAGACCACAAAACCTGTGGTTGAGGAGGGAAGAAAAAATAAAAGCTTGTTATTGATGTACACTATCAAATGCATCTTAGAGGTACAGAGAAAACACTAATTATCAATGCAATTGGCTCAGCTTAAACAGAAGAGTTCAGGGTGTTTCTCATTACTCCTCCAACACCAAAGTTAAAACAGCTTTAGAGGGAGCTAGCTAAAACAGAGACTGAGCCTCAGGCATGATGTTTCATTTACCTTTACCAGTCTATCAGGAAGACAGCTACAAGATGAGACTGCTGTATTGCCTTACACACAGGCTCACTGAGGTGTAGAGGCCACTGGATACAGGCTGGTGTGCAAAGGCTGTTTGGGGAGGTATGTGATGGCAGGCTGCTACATTCAGCACCAAATTTCCAATAACGAGGTCATTCCTTAAGAGCTTTTTAGCCTCTGTTTGCCATTTCCTTGTGTTTAAAATGGGATTTGTCTGCACATATTTTGCAGCTGTGTATCTGCGAGTGCCTCCTCTTCCATGTAAGCGTAAGAGCTAGTCTCCAGGATTACACTTCTCAGCCCACACCACATCACCTACTTTTTCATTTCAAGGATAGCTCATAGGGGGCTTACAGAGTGATGCAGGCCAATTAAAACTCTAATCGTAGAAATGTGCTTATCCAATTGTGCTGCTGCATTTGTTTAAACTGTCCTCTCAGTGATTCACTCAACACTTTGTTCAAACCCAGACAACTTCACTGGCATCATGTAAAGCTCCCTATAGAATTATGTCACAGAATTCAAATCTCTACTTCATTCCGACAATATGAAGCAAACACAAACTATCTTTCGGGATCTTGAAAGCAGCAGTAATGAAACTGTAATAGAGAAAGGATGGGCTGTGTACATACCAAGCCAGCATTTTTCTTACCTGGATCACCTAGTTTGTGGGACATCTCATTCAAAGTTTCTACTTCCTCCTCTTGTGGAGCATGAATTACCATCACAGTTGATCCCAGGATACTTAGCAAACACCCTATTTTTCCATGTAGATTAAGTTTTTCATTTAAAAAGAAAGATGACAGAATGGCACTAAAATGAAAAAAAAAAAAGCACCAGCAAACATGGAGTTAGTAACGTTCCATTCATTTGCTCTTCAACTTACAGGCTGCTTTGACTTTAC